TTATTTCCTTTATCATTCAACAAACATTTACAAACCTAGTCTGTACCACATCATATAAACCTGTGTAAAAGGTGTGTGGTATTCTCTCCAGCAGCAGCACGATACAGTATATGCAGATATATTATGACCCAAAAATTCAGAGAAGAGTGCCTAACTCCTTGTGCAGGGTGTAGGGTGGGTTGTCAGGGAAAACTTCCTGACAGTGATAACCAAACTGTTCGAGATAAAAATTTAGAATTCTTAGTAGCATTATGCAAGCTAATCATTGAAACAGATGTTCCTTTCAGCAGATGTTCACCAACAACTTATATTAAAGCATAAGTTTAAAAGAGGAAGACACAGAAGCCAGGCATTGTGGCATATGCCTGCCATTCCAGCTACATGGGAGGCTAAGGCAGGAGAATCTTGGGTTTAAGGCCAGTTTGAGCAACTTAGCAAGGCTCTCTCCCAAAATTAAAAAGTTATAAAAGACTAGGCAATGTAGGTCTTGTCTACTATGTCTAGTACAAAAAAAAAAAAAAAAAAAAAGGCTAGGTACACAGAGATCAAACATGGTTCTAGCCTTCAAAGAAATTTCCACTCTAAAAGGAAGACATTCAAGATTCTGAGTTCAATCCTAAGGCCAGTCCCTTTCAAAACAAACAAACAAATAAATGTAAAGAATAAGAATTATCTGTACACATGTACTATAAATATCTCTGTAGCTACAGATGTACAAGAGATGGAGAGATGGCTGTTTATTAGAAAATGTACTGGAAAAAAAAATCACAAAAAATTTATAGAATGGGAGTGGCTGACAAAATCTTTAAGTTTAGGAAGCCAAAGATTCAAGAAGAAACAACTGATATTATTTGGCAAAAAACAACCAAAGAAGTTTGAGTTTATAATCTGAAGTGTTAGTGTTGAATATTGTATCATTTTCCATTCTTTATTGCACTTTGGGCAAGTGCCTTCATAGTACAATTGTAGAATATGGCTAATATAAACCCCAAAAGTATTGCAAAAATTAAAGGGCATAACACTACATAGTATATTTTGAAAACTGTACCCCTGGTTTCAAAGGTTGAGTTCTGTTTTAATTATAGAGAAGGAAGAAGTCCACTGTGAGTTAAGCAGAAGATGAACTGGAGGTAACCCCTCAAAAAGGACTGTGGGATGCAAGCTCCTTTTTCTTTCTTCTTCTTCTTGGTCATGTATAATGCGAATGGCTTTGTTCTACCACGGGCTTCCTAAGCCTCATGTGAGGCCTTACCACAGGCCCAAAAGCAAGGTGGCCAAATGATCGTTGATTGACACCTGTTAGTTGATTATCTCAGCACTTGGTTTCAGTAATGGAAGGCAGACTAACACAGTAAGATTCATCATTTTTGATAATAGTCATCCTAACAGGTTTGAGATGTAACTTATTTTGATCTAAAAATCTCCATTTCCCTGATGCTAAGTGATGTTGAGCATTTTTAAAATACAGTTTTTGGCCATTTATATATCTTCCTGTGAGCCTATTTTGGTCCACTGGGCATTTTTAATTGGCTTATGTTTTCTTGTTATTGGTTTGAATTTTATATTTTTGTTGTATATTAGCCCCTCATCAGATATTCGGTTAAAAATATATTCTCCAATCTGTAAGTTGCTTTTTCACTCTGTTATCTGTTTCTTTGGCTCTATGAAACCTTTTTAGTTTGATGCAATCCCACTTACCTGCTTTTGTTTGTTGCCTCTGCTTTTGGGAACAAATCTGAAATATCATTGCCCAGGATAATGCCATGGAGATCGTCCCCTGTTTTCATATAGTGTAATTTTGTAACTTCCAGTGGTATGTTTTAAGCTATAGATTTTATTTTTATATGTGGTATGACATAAGCATGCAATTTCATCAATCCTCACTACGAAGTAACTCCTTTTTCCAGTGTATGTTCTTGGTAAAATCAATGCAACCTTATAAATTCATGAGTTCATTTCTGTTCTGCTTTATTCTACTGGTCTATATATCTATTTTCACTACAGTAGCATGTTTTAAATATAAAAGCTTTGTAATATATTTTGAAATCAAGCAGTACGATGTATTTAGGTGTAATTTTTTTTGCTTAGGTTTGCTTTGATATGTGGGATCTCATGTGGTTCTGTAAAATTTTTAGAATTTTTAAATACTTCTTTGAAAAACATCACTGAAGTTCTGATAAAAGATTGGACTGAATCTATTTGTAAATTTGGGTACCAAAGGCATTTTAACAATATTAACTCTTGCAATTTATGAACATGAAATATTTTACAATTGTTCTTAAATTTTTTCAACATTTTACAGATTTAATACACTGATTTTCACCTTTATTAAATTTACTCCTATTTTATATTTATGTATATAGTTATATAATATACACACATACATATATATATATCACATATAAGTGTTCTAAATGGATTTTCATTTCTGTTTTGGATAGTACATTGTTAGTATATAGAAATGCTATTGATTTTTTTGGGTTGATGTTGTATCTTGCAACTGTACTGAAGTTATCTATTTTAACAGTTTTCTTTTTTGGAGGGAGTGGTAGGATTTTTCTATGTACAAGATTGCATCTTCAGCAAACACAGGCAGTTCTACTCCTTATTTAGACACATGCTATTTCTTTCTTTTGCTTAATTGCTCTGTTAGGACTTTCAGTACTATTTTTTCTTTTTTCAGTACTGGAGACTAAATTCAGGGTCCCTGCCCTAAGTTACTGGGTTGCTAAGTTGCCCAGGGTGGGTTCAAACTTGTGATCTTCCTACCTCAGTTTTGCAGAATGCTAGGATTACAGATGTGAGCCACCATGCCCAGCTTTTAGTACTCGTTTGAAAAGAGAGGAGTAATCATTCTTGTCTTGCTTCTAATCATAAATGAAAACAGTATGTATGATGTTAGCAGCTGGGTATAGCACATATTTGTAACCTCAACAGTGTGGGGGCCTAAGGAAGGAAGATTGTAAATTTGAGCCCAGCCTGGGCAACTTAGCAATTTAACAAAACCTTGTCTCAAAATTTTAAAAAAATTTTAAAAAGGACGGGGGATGTAGCTCAGTGTTAGAGCCCCAGTATTACCTCCTGGCCAAAAAATGTATGGTGTTAGCTACATGCTTACGATAGTAGGCCTTTATTTTGTTGAGGTAATTTCCTTCTATATGTAATTTGTTGAGAGCTTTATGAAAGGATATTGAATTTTGTCAAATGTTTATGTATCTATTGAAATGATCTTTTTTTAAATTTAATTTTGGTTAATGAGGTATATACTAATTACAGATTTGAGTATAAGAAACCATCCTTACATCCTAGGGGAAAATTCCATTCAATCTTAGTGAATGATTCTCTCATAGTGCCATCAAATCTGGTATACAACTATTTTGTTGGGAATTTTTACATCTATGTTTATCAGAGACACTGGTCTACATAATTTTCTTTTTATTGTAGTACTCTTGTCTTAGTAACAGGATAATGCTCACTTTGCAAAATAAGTTTGGAAGTATTCTGTCTTCTTTGATGTTTTGGAAGAGTTTAAGAAGCCTTGGTATTCTTTAAATGTTTTGTATAATTCAGCAAAGAAATCCTAGGAGCCTGGGGTGTTGTTTATTTGTTTGTTTGCTTTTTATTTTTAAAGGGGAGACTTTTTATTACACATTCTATGTCCTTACTCTTTATTGATCTGTTCAGATTTTCAGTTTCTTCTTGATTCAGTCTTGGAAGACTGCATATTTCTAGAAACTTACCCACTTCTAGGCTACTCAGTTTGTTCAGTGAATGCTCCTCCCACCTTCATCCACAGGAAATATGTTCAAAGACCTCTAGTGAATGGCCCAAATCTCAACTAGTAACAAATCCTACATATCGTATGACATTTCTCTATATATCCACACACAAATAATGCCCTTTTCATCTTAAGTAAGCACTTATTATGTACTTAACTTTCATAGTTTGGATAGAACAGAAAAATCCACATGATTTTTCCTTTTTTCCTAAATCATCCTTTTTCCTTCTGTGGTCAAGACATTTATCCTTTCCCATAAGGAAAATATGTTGATTTGTCATAAGTACAGTATAAATTCAGGTTTTCTTAATGATTTTCTGCCTAGATGATCTGTCCATTGCTGCAAGTGGGGTACTGAAGTCCCTATTACTATTTCCCACTTCAATTTTCTTAGTATTTGTCCTACATATTTAGGTACACACATATTTAATGTTATATCCTTTTAAAATCATAGCAATAACTTTTTGTAGCACATACTAAGAGCTCTATAAGTACTTTTTAAATGAAAAAATGGTAACGTCTGTACTCTTTAATTTTTCATTAATTTTTCAAAACTAATATAACCAAAGTCAGAATTTGACCAAGAACAGAAATAAGATCCTGGCTTTTAATATCCTGTAGGTTCATACATCACACAGGGTCATAACATATACATAAACATGTTCAATCTTATCTATCCATTTGGCTTGTTTCTTCCTTGTGTGTGTATTGCTATCATTGTTTTTTTTTTTTTTTTTTTTTTTTTGCATTATGCTGTTATTGCTAGTTTACTGATCACCCTTAACTCTGAGCACCCTGGTATAGGCATAGTGTATTCATCTTTGTTATCCAACATCAAGCAGTATATGTCTCATAGAAGGTACCCCACCCAATGCATTTAAGGATCTCCCAGATAGTCTGTTAAATGTACTCTACATCAGAAGCAGAAAAAATAAAAAAAAATTCCCTTGTCAATGTGACAGTTCTAAGTAAAGATCACTTTAAGCATTAGTCTGAATTATGTCTATTGAAACATGAAACTAACAGAACATGAAGGAGCACATTAACAATAACCTTGTATGGAAGGTTCCTGCCTTCAAGAATTTACTGAGACTTTATACACGCCACATTAACTTTATAGACTCATTGCTGTGGCAGAATAAAAATAAAAAAGAATAGGAAGTGAGCAGGTTATTGAGGACATAAGCCTTCTGTCCAACAAGAAGCTAGCAAATGGGCTCACCTCTTCTGACGGCTCCCGGGTCTGCGCAGGTAAAGACCGTCTTCCCACAGTAAGTTGATGGCAGGGATGAGAGAGCCCTGACTCAGCAAGACACATCTGCAGGAAGTAGAATCCAGCATTTGTAATCAAAATGTGTTCATATTTCATAAAAGAATTTTATATTTTTGAATATTTTCATTTTTCTATTAGTTTTGGAACTAAAATAGAAAGCTTAAGTTTTTACACTTGAGGTAATATTATTACCAAGGCTGTCATTAGGCAACAGACTGGAGCTTCAGAAAACTGTAACAGTGAACCATAAGGCAAACCATATATCCCCAAAATGTATTTCTATTTTTTGATTAGTAGAATAATAGCTCAATTTCATAACTCTTAGGGAGTAAGAGTACTGGAGGAGTATATGTTAAAGGCATTTAGTTTGTTTCTGATTTTAACACATAGTAACAAAGCCCTTCAGACTTTAATCTATATTGATACATAATTTCATATATTATAAAAGCTTATAAATTTACAATACCTGTATAGAATCTAGCATAGTACTTAATTTCCAGTCCTTAGTATTAGTGTTATCTAAAACATTATAAAAGAACCACCTCACTTAGCCAAACAATTGAGGCAGCATTTATTTACTTCTACTGAGGTTTATAGTAGGTTAGAAAGTAACAATTTAGAAGTTTAAATTAAATATGGGTAAACATAAGCAAATATGATTTCATTTTAGGTTTTATGAATACCAACTGATTTCAAGCAAAGGGTCTAATAATTCTTGAAAGATACATTTTAAAGATATATGTTCCAACAGTTATTAATTTATTGTTCCTGAAAGATACATGTTCCAACAGTTATTAATTTATTCCTGTCTATATACATGCATCAATTTAACAGGCAACAGTTTCAAAAGTAAGGAAGTATTCATGATAAAAACCTGACTATAACTTCAAACCCAAAAGATAATGAATACACAGTAAAACATAGTGTTTTTTTAAACAGCAAAAGTGCACCAGTACTATGAAAATGGATCTCATACAGCCTTTCCCCACATTACTTATATCTCCTAGTTAAACTTTGTTGTGGTACATAACTTATAAACTATTAATCTTTAGGAACAAAAAATATCCAATAAAGTCCTCCTGCACAAAGAACAATGATCTAAATTTGAGTGAATATCGTAAGTTTAAATCTTTTTTTTAAAGAGCAGAATGTATTTATTGAGAGAAAGAAAGCTTCTGTCTGAGAGACAGAAAGACGGACGGACGGACAGACGGATAGACGCAGTCCTTAGTCCCTAGTGGGTTGCCTTAAATCTTAAATATATGGAAATTAACATTAGACCAGGTTACATAACAAATAATACAAATAGTATTTGTAACTCAAAGGTGGAGGACAAAAATCCCATCAGTAGATTTACATTGTATGAGTCCATTTAGTTCTCTTCCAAATTTATCACTAAGAAAACTGTTTGAGAATCCCTAGAGTTGAATGGGAAGGGAAAAAAATCTCTGAGATTAAAATATGTGCTTCTAAAATACATGATAATCAAATATGAGTAGCATATTAAGAATGGAAAAAATTGAAATTATGAGACAGATACAGAATCTAAAGAGTCTATAAGACATTTACATACCAAAAATATATAAATGTAGGTTTTACCCAAAATAATCTATCTGAAAAGAAGAAACTGTTTTATATTTATTTACACAAGTTCTTGTACTACAGCATGCTTCCTTAAATATTTTATTTTGAACTACAATACACTTTCTGGGAAAGAAACAACCCTGAAATAACCCCAGTCAACCATGTTTCAGATGCTTACAGAGCTTATCTGGAGGAATTCATTAATAAAGGAAGACATTTATTATAAACTCCCATGATTATTCCTAGAAGTATGACCTCACATTTGCTAGTATTGAAAGTCCTTTTAAACAAGACGTTAAATAAAAGGTACTTAAAAAAATATGATAATACACTTGTAAGACAAATGAAAACAAATAAGTGAAAAAACATGCTTGATCTAATGATACATAAAAGAGACAGTATCAGATTAATACTTTCTTCATGAGGTAGGAATAAGCTTAAGCTAAACATGGCAATAAACAAAGCAATAAGAAAATTCCTAGTATGCAGTAGACATCCAGCAAATATTATTTTTAGTACATTTGTGACATGTAACAATCACGTTCTTTTGGGTAATGGTTGATGTATGTGACATTTCTTAATTCTTTTTACGTCCCTTCCTCTCCTCCTGCGCTCCCTGCTTTACTTGTTTCCCGTCCTGTTTCCAAAAGATGTTATCTCCATTTCCATTATTTATCATTTGTTTTGCTCTTAATTTATTTATACTTCATGTTTCTCATTTTCAACAAATACTGTTTTAAAAATAATTCCACGAATGAGTACTTGTGGTTGGGATAAAATGTGCAAAAAGAGCATGATATAATCATTTAAAGTGGTGCTAAGTCTCCAACAACTTAATGTCTTCACATGCTACAACATGTGACTAGTGGTAATGATGCTTACATATAAAAATGCACGTAAAATTCAAGCACAATTACTGCATGAAAAGGAATGGTAGGCCAAAGTGGCATTTTATATCTAAATTAATAAATTAATACTATCAAATTGTGTTAAAATCTTCAGTGTCAGTACTTACTGTAAAAATGTGAGTTTTATTTAAGAATGTCCCTATTGAATCAGTAGAAACTATTTTTAATTAAACCTTGACTCAATCTTTTAATATTTATGTGACAAATGGAAAGGAAAATAAAATAAAGAATTCCTGTTACATACCAAAATATGATAGCTGTGTTGAAGAATAAGCAATTGTTTGCATTGTATGCTAAATCAACTCCCCTTTTTCCCCCCCTGGAATATCATTACTACTTAAATGACTGGCAGAAAAATTATGGTTATTTCAAATGGTGGGGTTTTTTTTCTTTGTACTGGGGATCGAACTTGTGACCTTGTGCTTGCCAGGCAGGTTCTTGTGCCACTGAGTTAAACCCCTAGTCCCCAAATTAAGGCTATCTGTATTTGGTATATTATTTCCTCCAAAATAAATGAAATGAGCCTACTACTATATAAAATATGTCTGACAATATCCACTGTCGATGACCAAAATTTGAATTTTAAAATAAAATTTAAAACTTTGGAAACAACAAGCCATTATGAGCTTGATAGCTTCTCAACACTTAAAAGATTTTAATGAGATCAGTGGTGATATTAACAGATACTATTTTTGATAACATATAATGAAGTGTATTAACATTTAGAAAACTTGTCTCAGAGTATCAATATCCTCCAAATGAACAATGAATGCACAATATCATAAAATGATGCATAAAGGATGTATTTAAAGTGGAGGCAGGCCAATGCATTTTACTATAACAAAGTTTTAAAAATGTTTATCGATAAGACTTTAGATTCTACCTTGAAAGTAACTTTAGGAAAGTATTAATTGTTAAATTCTAGTTTATTAGTAAAGAATGGCCAAAATTATATGGAAAGACTATTTCAATTACAGATCTGTGTAAGGTCAAATTTTCTTCATCTATTTCAATTAGGGCAGTGTATTATAAAATAAATACAGCAGGAAAAAGATAGGAAAATTCATTTGTCTTCATTAAGCTAGATATTAAGAAGATGTGCAAACAAATATGAAAAAAGGGTGTCATTTACTTCACTAAATTTTTAGGAAACAATTATTTTCATTATACATCTATTTACATTAACTGCAAGTGATTTATCACTAGTTATTTCTGTTCAGTCATTCGAAAAATACATTATTATTATTTTAAGCTTGGCCCTCAAGGTGTTTATAAGGCCTTTTTAAAATATCAGCTTCCAGGCTAGGGGTTTAGCTTAGCAGCATAAGCGCCTGCCCTGAGAAACATGAGGTCATGAGTTCGATCACTGTTATCAAATAAATAAATACTAGTTTCCTCTAAAATATGCATTAGTTCTCCAAAATATTTTCATTCTACAGTCAACCTTTAGTCTTCTTTTAAATGCATATCTATTGTGTGTCTATCTTCCTACTTATTAATAATTCAGACTTAAGACATTTTATTGTGGAATTTGGAAAGCCTGATTGATATGGGCTTGAGGTCAGTAATTAGGAACCTTCCTTTTGCAAAATATGAGGGTGACTCCATGAAGGGCTTCTTAGAAGCTTTTCAGCTCTTATGGGATACAATCTTAATACATTACTGAAAAGACTGAGTTCAGCCATCTCTAGGCACCTTGCCTTGCATGTGGCACACCTAATAATGCAAATGAACAAGCATGACACTTTAGTTTTACTACTTGTGCATATTTTTTAATAAATCAATTTGTAAAATGTGATCTTCTTATGTTTTAAAGAAAACAATAATAGAAGAAAGGTTTTTTAAAAGTTGTATCTCAAGCATGTCATTGTTCTAACAAGACACAAGCACAATGAGTTCTATCCAGGCTCGGAAGTGCTACTAGGCACTAGCACAAAACACAATCATTGTAATGCTCTGAGAAGATGAAGATAAATATAAACAGCACTGAATATTGCTTTAATAAAGTGTAAATAACATAAAGTACATATATTTTGGATTGTACAATTTTGTTTCAACATATGTATATAAATATTTAGTATTTTTAAAAACACCTGATTTTTAAGTGTTATGATTAAGCTTAATGTGTGTTTAAATTACATGAATTGCTTTACATGAATTACTGTACTTAATTCTGATAGTAAGCCTGCTGAGTATTATTATAATATCCATTTAAAAGATGAAGTTATGATAGATAACTATACTGCTAATCTCCATGAGTTCATCAAAAAGAACAGTTTGTGCTTTCATTGTTTGACTGATTTTTTCATGTCTAAATCTTATAATCTAAATAATTACTTTGAAGATAACAATATCCCAAATAATAACATGTTAATTTCCTATTAGTTTGTTTTGAAATCCTGCATCATAGTTTTCATGTTGTTGTTTTGTTTAAAAAAAAAAGAAAAGTGAAGTTCAAGTCAGTTGTAGTGGCACACACCTATAATCCCAGCATGCAGGAGGCTGAGGAAGGAGAATCTTGAGTTTGAAGCTATATTGAACTAGTAGCAGTAT